TTGTTTGATTTGCGAAATTTGAGATTTAACGAACTCAATGTTCTTGAATTAATGTGAAAATTGATGCTGCGGTTTGATTGTTTATCAGGTGGATACAAAATTTACTGAAAATGCATGCTCAAAAAGCATTTCGTGCCAAACTGAACGCAAAAAAGCAGGAAAAGCAGCGGATTGATTCTCCCCTTGTAAGGTAAATGCTGTTCTCTTGTCAATTTCCCGTTTTGGATGCCAATGTTAGAGTAACTTTAGGGCTGAGCCATTGGGAACGTAATTAAATAAACTATTCTTAAAATCAATTCCTAGTGCCTTAGAATTTTGTTTACTACTTCAAGTTCGGACTTTGTGTTAATTGTTCTTGTACGGTTGTACCTGAAAACAATGGATGCATATCTTATTCACTTGTATATGTTATGATTATGCATAGTATTAATTCGTTACATGTGTTCATGTGTGTTGTGTGTGCGTGTGGGTGTGTCATTCTGCATCTGATGTGGCTGCAAGGGCAAGCGTGAAAGATGAAGTGAAATATTGATCATTTACAATTCGTAGGAATGTGGAAGTATTTTTATTTGGTGTTAGCTTGTTGTGATTAGACTATGGAGTACGAAATTACTGACCTTGAAAGTTTTGATGCAACTATAGATTCTGTTGTAGAGTTCAAGTGTGGAATTATCATAGGCTAGTTGTATATGTATTTTATAGTTTTGGACATATTCCTTCATTTCTTCGTCCAATAAGCTAAATTTCTCTCCAAATTGTAAATGTAGGTATAACGAACACGATCAACCTGTATGTAGAGTTTGCGATGTTGTCATCAAATCCGAGTCAAATTGGCCTGCTCACCAAGTTTCTCGCAAACATCATGAGGTAAATGTTCTGTTAGATTTAACGTCTTTATATCAATTATGTGACTAGGAATTATAGGGGATCTCGTGCTATATCTGACATAACAAGGGATAATAATACGCTTGTTCACTAGTCAATAAGGACTGTTTTGTGGGTTTATTTTAAGAAACTACATTTAAAGATATAGGATTGCGAACATGCTATCTGGTACTAGATAGTCGTCTTAATGAGCAAAACTCGTGTGTGTATTCTTGAATATAACTACCAATATGGTGAAATACATGCTCCTTCTGTCACGCAATAAGATTCAATTTCTTGATTTGGAATTTATTTTCTTCTGAAATTATTTGTCACTTTAAAGTGGTGAAGTGATAGTATCAACTCCTGTTACTATTTGTTCCAAGAAACCTATACGGGACAAGCTAGAACCTTAATACTTGGATGAACAAATTATAATGTGTTATATTAGTTTATAGGTATCCATGGTCAAAGTTCTGAGTTTCTTTCTTTCTTTTTTTTTTTCATTTTTTTTTCTTAATTCTGTTTCTTATTGATTCCCCTCTTATATCTTTTTGTTTGCCGTGGTCTCAGAATTTCTTAATCCTCTTATGCAAATATGGAAGAGGAAAATTCAATTCTACTCTCCTTTTTGTCTTACAGTTTTACTCCTTACTGGAGAAAGTATTGGAGTTATTTGCCATTATTTATATATCTGCATCATTTAGTCATATATTGTTTTCCTTCAACCTTTCTGATTTGGAAGAATTACAACTTTCAAATAGGATTTAGATATTATAATCTTGTTTGCTGGAGATTCTGGAAATTTCTGAAATCTCATTTTCTTTTATACAAGCATTGTCAACCTTCAATAATTAACTTGTTTTTTTACTGTTGATATAGGTCTCTTACTGCTCTTTCTTTTATATAAGTGAATATTATTGTCAGCCAAACTTTGTCTTAGTTGCCTCTTTGTTTGATCAGGCTATTGACAAACTCAAAGCTACTGCCGCTGCTCAAAATCGTCCGACAGTTTCACAGTCTGAATCTGCTAAACAGTTTCCAAAGGCTAAGCTTGAATCCTCCAGGGACTTGATTGAAAAACCTGAACCTGTAACTGCAGTGCGTGCACATCAATCATCTACTCTGCCTCCAGATTTTTTCGATAATCCTGACAAGAAGAAGCAAAAAAATGGTATGAGCTGTTATGGGACTTCAATTTTGAGTTATGTTTCTGTTTTAAACTGTAGGCAAGGCCATTTCTTGAATTATCAGTTTAGTTGTATGGATTTCTTATATTTTTTAAGGATTTTGTTGACATTATGTGATCTTAACCGTGAATCATGAAGTAGGTTCCTATTTCTGATTATAATCGTCTAAATGCTAGCTCCATTGCAGTTCGACTCCAGCATTTTCATTCCTTTAGGCTCTTCATTAATTTTTGAAATATTTTTGTTGGGTGCTAGTTAGTTTTGTTTGACATTTATCAATGTTTAGTATCTTATATTTGGAAAGACCAAAAAATTTGAGGAACCATGAACTTTGTACCAAAGGTCCCTAAGGTGAAATGGATTGATGGAGTTGAGAAACCTTTTTGTTTTTGTTTTTTTATAGTTTTAATTTTAGGGTATGCTTTTTATTGGCATGAAAGTGTCTGCATAATAACCCTGAAGTACGGTTTGATGTTAGGTTAGTGGTTTATCTGTAAAATATCATGTTCACGAAAGCAGAGGATCATGCACAAGAAGTATATTTACTAAAAGCTGAAGGCAATAGGATCAGTGGATATCAGACTGAACGCTGCTTTGTCAAGTCACTGTAGTTTCTGTTGGAATTTAGAGGTGCCCACCTAGAACACACACACATGGTTTTAAATTTTTTTCCCAAAATGGAGGTCTAGTTATAGACTTATAACTATTCAATATGACCAAAGGTTGCGCTAATAATAAACAGAAAACTTACAATTGTTCACAAGCTTTATCATCTACTATATTATCCACCACTCAAATTCTCGGTGCACTACCCAACAGAACTGAGTCCTTTCCGGTGAAGAAACTAGGAATTTTCAATTCGGAAGTGAAAGAGTATTGTGTGATTTCTTATGTGTGATTTTGATCTTGTGATCTATCGAACAAATCAAAGAAGATAATCAGGTACTTATAACATTATGCCCCAAGTCAAACCTTGTCGTTTAGGCAGGCTTTAATCCACAGGTATTGTTGCAATGCTATAATTTAACACGTGGTTATCCAAGTAGTTTCTTTTGGATATTTCTCAAATCTGGATTACTCTGATTATTAATTACATAAGCTCTATGTTGCTGTTGTAATTTAGATGCTAATGATGCTATAATTTATACTTTGGTTTTGCCAAAAAATAAAAATAAAAAAATAAAAAAATCAGCTAAATAATAGTTATGGAATTTATTTGAATAGTGATGAAGAATTCTTGAGACTGTGAGCCGATGAATAGGTAAGGAAGCTTTGCATAATGAATTAGTGATTGGATGATTTTGTTTAAACAATGAGTTGAATTGGTGGTAAGAGAAAAGGTGAAAGTGATTGAATAGGGTAATTACTTATATTTTTTTTTTGGTGAAATGTAAAAATATCTCAATTAGAAAAGTGTTTCTACGTGAAATGGTGACCAAGTCCATTCCAAGTTTTTCTCTTTGGCTTCATTGTTTTATTCGTGCACAAATTATTTCTGAGTTCCCCTTTATTTTCTAGAAAGGGATTCAAGTCATCACCGTGACCTTAATACACACAAGAAGGATTCTGTTTCTGCAAAGATTCAAGTCACAGGGAGTGTCAATGACATATCATCCACTGCCCCATCTGTGGAGACTAGAAATCCTCACATACAGACTTCAATTGATCCAACGCCATTGGCAAGTACATCTAATGTGGTGACTAAGCAAGTTAAAGGGGCACTGCCTGCAGGTTTTTTTGATGACAAAGATGCTGATTTGCTTGCGCGTGGCATAAAACCTGTGAAGCCAGATCCCAAGTGAGCATATTCATTTCTCTTTCTTTTTATTTTTTAATATACTGTTTTTTACATTCTTGGTCTGTTTCTTAAAGTAGTTGAATCAGTTACAATTATATTTGTCGTGTCGATTCACTAATTCTTGATTTTTGTTGAGTCTGTTGGCTAATAAGTAAATGCCAGTTATTACATTGCCACCTTACCTATCTGTACAATCATTTTTCAAATGAGCTGGCTTCTGAGTAGAATCACTGATGCAATAACTTTTCTAAGGCTCTCTATTCACATTATTTCTTATCTCCTTACGATTTGAATAAAAATATGCTGGTGACATAATTTTTTTCAGGGATGAATATAAGGAATTTGAAAAGTTAATCCAAGAGGATTTACAAGAGGTGGATAACCAGTTGGAGGAAGAAGAGGTGAGACAACTCCTCATTGATCATTATATGACAAACATAATGAGCATGTCTTGTGGTTTTGCACTCTAAAATACTAGTGGGTTACTGACATACTAAGGGTGTGTCTGTTTATCATTTATTTCAACTCTTATTCAATTCATATTTAAAATCTAACTCAACTTTAACCCAACCCCATTATTATCAATATAATTAAGTAATATCAACCAATCATTCTTACATATCACATCAACTTTAATTCACTATTCATCCACTCACATAATTTTAGCTAACCATCACTTCACATCATCTCTCTCATACTTCTACATCAAATTAACTTTAATTATCTTATTTTGTTTATTATTTTAATATAAACTCAAAATCCCATTAACAACTACCCGTATCAACTTTTTCAAAATTAACCATGGTTAACCAAAAGGACTCGTTTTGGATATATTTGTATACAAACACGTCCTAATGGTCTTGATTTTGCAGTTTGTTGCAGCTGAGGTGATCGAAGAGGAGGAGACGGTCGAACAGAGGTAATTTTATCAATATTAAAAATGAAGTTTCTTTTTTCCTTTTGTTTAAATCTCAGTCTTGTTGAGCATTCTCTCTGTTGTTTTATTCTTCGGTTTCCTGTCTTGACTTTTTTAGGGCATATATAGAGAGAGTGGAAATGTTAAGAAGGAAGAAACTGGAACTTAGGGCTTCCAAATCTTCTGCCGTTGTTAAAGATGTAGAAGTGGCGAGTAAAATTCCTAGCCGTGAAGAATCTTCGAGCGATGATGAGGATGATGACGTAAAAGTTGATTGGAGGTCAAAGCGACTTTAAACACTTACCCCTGAATTTGCAGGTATGCGTGAAAAGCTTATTGTTGTCTGATTTGTGATTGATGTGCTTTAATTATCTTATCCGAGCAGATGTCTTTTTTTACTTCTATAAGTGGGATACTTGTAAGACAACTTCTGAGCTTGAGCCTTATTTCAAAAGAAAATTACATACATTGCCTAAAATTAATGTCTGTATTTACCTTACAAACAAATGTAAGGATATCTTTTTGGTGATTTTAGATGTTCTCTCTCATGTCTGTATAAAATTCCATAATATTTATTTATTAGTTGACCCTGCTACATCTTATATGTCGCTGGGTAAAATGCATTTTGCAAACTGTTTTATTAGTGATTTGAATTTCTGCTGGATGCAGACTGGAAGCTCTTGGCGAAGTAGTTTTCTTGGAGCAATTGAAGTTTAAAATGCTTTCCAACCTCACCGATTGTGCTTGATAAGTGCCAAATCGATAGTGATTACCCTCTTCAAATCATTGTAAACCCTTACCTGCTGAAAATTTGATATATATATATTGTTCCAACTAATTTTAACTTCATTTTTTTTTAGTGAATCAGTGTTTCAATTAGAGGAGGAAAAGCTGTTTCTTTTGTTTACTTTAAGTTTTATTTTATTTTTAAAGCAAAAAATAAAAAATGGGATTAAGTGAGCATATTTTATGTCAGACCCACAATAGCATAAACGGTTGTTTTTAATACAGCCCGGTGATTGTCACTAAGGACTTGGTCGACTTATAGCATCTCCACTGTCTAAATGTCAATGTTAAGATGGTCTGACGAAGATCGTGTATCGTGGTGTTTGCGTTTGCGTTTGCGAAAATTTACATTAACGGCCTTGGTTAACACGAAAATTTATGCTCGAAAAAATGTTTTGTTATATCTACGGAAAGTAAATATCTAAGGTCTTAAGAATCTCTAAAATAATCCAATACCTATACTAATTAGGAACAGAATTATATAATAGCTATACTAGGAAAGTTGACCGACTTGTCCCTCAAGACTTGCCAAAATTCTCGGTCTTCATTAGCATCATTCTCGTCTCTTTCAAGTAAATTATTGTCCTCAAGGATAAAAGTCGGAAATTGAATAGGCATATCCTGCATGTTTTCCCACGTCGCTTCCTCTTTTGGTAATTCGTCCCGTTCAATCAAAATATCCCCACGAAATCGGCCCGCCTTCTTCACTCAGCGATAGTCTAATGCCTGATTAGTACGCTTAATGAGTTGTCCTTCCGTATCCAATGCCGGTAGTCGCGTCCCAACCTTGTGCGCTTCACCTAAGCTCTTCTACAACTGCAACACATGGATGACATGGATGAATTTGATACTCGACGGGCAAATCAAGCTGATACGCCATATTGCCCACACGCTCCTTGATCTTCCGATGATGCGACAGCGAAAACTCAGTCCCTTTGATTCCACCGTCTACCATGACTGCAAACAATTGGCTGCCCCCTCTCCATGACCGCTCCATATTTTTCAAACACGTCTCTTTGACGCCTTCATTGACGTTGGTCGTCAACGTGACCCACCTATCTCCCGAACAGAACTCCCTCGTCCCGACCTTATACTTCGTGGTGACCAGTCCTAGGCCCTCCAACCATTTCACTTCCAGTACCACATGGAGACCTACCAAAGGCAACGCGTAAAGATCGGCCTTCAAGGTCACGCCCTGCAGTTTGATAGGCGCGCCCCAAAAATACTCCAAACACCTTAATCGTTCTCAGTAGCAACTCTCACGTCAGAAGGCTCCACGTTCGTCACTGATAACTTCAATTTATGAGAGAATGCGACATTAATAAAATTATGTGACAAACCATTGTCGACTAGCACCACAACTCGCTGGTCCCAAACCCACGCTGGTAGCCTCATCGTCTTAGGCCCCCGGGTTCGAAGCATTGCGGAATCGATATCTCTTGATCATCCTGGGGAGGCTCATTATCGTATTTTCGCTTGTTCAATATGCGCTCCTCCTCGTCCGACTCGGGAAATTCGATAAAAAATGCATACTTTTCCTGGTATCTGGCGCAACGTAACCTACAATACAAGAATATAATTTATATAACTACCAGTTGCATTTGTTATGATACCCCAAACAACTTACTAGTTACTACATGCATATATATTTTATATATTATATTTTTTCAATCAATAGGCATCATTTTAAATTGATATATCATATTCTGAAAATTAACTTTTATACAAAAATAAATATGATATTTTATCGTATAAATATACAATTTTTATTAAAACAAGTGTGACAGAACTGATTATGTGGTCACGCAAGAAGTTGTGTTTATGTAATGTAAGTTGTCACAAAAAGGTCATCGGCGCATAAAAAGCTTTTCGGATTCCTTGGCAATTAAAAAGCACACCATTTCTCTCTCACACACTCATGCCTCCAACAATAAATTTTTAATTTGAAAACGAAAACGCCATTTCCAACAACGACATTTTCTTCTTTACCGTGATATGATCACACATAGCCCTATTATAAGAAATTAATTAATCATTTACCCCTAATATATCCTGATATCAACTTGTCGCCCCCAAATAATCCCCAAAATCAATTTCCACAGACCTCCAGCATAAAAACACCCAATTTCCTCTTTTCCCCCCAAAATAAATCGCGTTCACAACTTCCATCCCATCGAAAGTAGAGAATGGTATCTTTCAGGAAGACGGCGTCGTTTGTCAATGGCGGAGAAGAAGATGGAGAGAGGAAGCTGAGAAATGGGGATGAGGAATATACAGTGGAGGATTTAAGAGATCGGATAAAGTCGTCGAGAGAGAGCCAATTCGAGATTATGGAGCACGAGCTTGGGCTGGAGGCCGCCGACCGGAGGTTTAGCCGGAAAACTGTCATCAATGGCTTGAAAGACCTGTCGCAGGGTCTCTTCATTCAGCCGGACAGCAGGTATGTAGATATATGTGTGTATTTGGAGAATATATATATTTTACATTAATTTTTAAATTATGAAAAGCATGAAGCTGGACTTTTGACAGTAATTTTTTGTGTTATGTTGAAATCTAGATAATTAATTGGATAAAACTTATTTATATTGTGTTTTTCTGAAGTAATATGTGTCAAAATGAAATAAAATTCTTAATTAATTCAAGGCATATTGAAATATTTGTGTAAGACGGTCTAATAATTACGTGAGCCGAACCATTATACTTATTTAAAATGTATTTATTAAAAGTTTTGTCTGATAATATGTTTAACTATTCAAAGAATGTTTTTGTAATAATATTTTTGACTGGCGACCTTCCCGCCAGTGAAGATGGTGGACACGTGGTCAAAATCTACTTGTTATATGATATTTAGTTTTATTGGTAGAACCTATTCCATATATAGAACTCGCCTCTCTCTTTAACCTTAGTATTATTAATGTGCGGCTGAAATGACTTGTTTTATTTAATTTAAACAAACTTTTTGTTTGAATTTCACTTTCGTGAGATCTGCTGCATATTTATTTCGGATATAATACAGCTAATAAAACAAATGATATATTTCTATAGTCTGACGCGTGGAAATTTAAATTTGACTTTCTACTTTCTAAAACTTCATCAACTTTCTATTCCAACAGATTCCGGAAATTTCACACATTTTTTCCCGTCATTTTGTGTCTAGATTTATTATGATGTTAAAGAAAAACAAAAGAGTATATAAACAATTCATAAGTATGTAATTGCCAACTTGTGCTGGATCTAACGGGGAGATATGCGAGGGTACATCTTTTGTTAATTTTGAAGGCATTTTGAGATTTTAATAATTAATTTAGATTTTTGAAAATTGTTAAAAACATTTAGGATATATTTATTTAATATTTAAGAAGTCTTAAAAAACTATAATGTTTTTTCAAATTTTCTAATTGTTATTTGTAATTTTATAATTTAGTAACGTTCTAAAAAATAAAATATACATACGAAACCCAACCACAAAATTCCATTCATATTTAAAATTCATAGTAATTTAAGTATCATATACTTTAAACTAAACTTGTTTAGTTTATTTGATTAGTTTATAAATTTTCTTTATTCAAATAAGTTTGGTTTGATACGGTGATTTTTTATTTATTTATTTATTTTTTTTAACTCAATCTTATCACATAAACTTCTTTGATAGTTTTTCAAATAAGAGCGTTGAATTTTTAATTCCTGTCGATTCATCATCTAATTTTACAAACACTTATATCATATCAACTTCAGCCATAAACTATCAGTCATAAGTTCAAAGTTTAAAATAATAAGCTATCATCTAACTTATGTAGCTATCAACTAGGTTTATTAAATATAGTATATTATAAACTATCAATTAACTTACAGTTATTAACTAGTTTATAATAGTTTAACAAACATAATCTATTTGTGTGAGTATAATATGTGGGAGTTGTATTTTGTTGGTTTATGGGGTATTTTTAATGATTTAAAGTCAAAGCTGTCCATGTGAGGCACTTGATAATAATACATTATAAATAGACTACAAGGTGGACACTTGGAACCCTACGCAAAAAAAATAATTAAAAATTTTGCCACACAAAAGTTTGACTAAGTAATAAAACGTCAATATACGTTATATTAATTGGAGTTCACAATCCTGATTGTCTATCAATATTCATTGATCATTAATTTTCTTAAGCCAGAAAAATCACTTGATAATTTGACATGAAACTGAAAATAATTGTGCTTGTAGCCTAAATTTTGCTGCTTACTCTAATTATAACACAATGTTGTACTGGTTAATTTTTTATATGAAAGTTCGAATCATTGATCTCTAAATTTTTTTTTTTAGATATTTAGAATTTGTGTTCCCCCATATTTACTAAAATAATTGATAGAAATTATATGATATTTCATGTATTTTTAGTTTAAGTTCAACATATTGAATTTGCAGCAAAGTAATTTATAGGTAGCAAGAATTGTTATCTTTTTTCAGAACATTATATAACTATTTTGTTAATGAAAAGTCATCCAAAGCTTTTAAAAAAGCCAAATTATTGAATTACACAAATAAAATGTAGTTAGAAAATAAATTAGGAGAACTTGAAAAAGACAACTAAACACTTGGTTAAGGAAATTGTTAAATTTTTGTTAAAATTTAGACACATTTTATAACAGCGTGCATTAAATTTAAAATATAGCTTTATTCTCATTTCTATTGTCCTTACCCAACAAAAATGCTAACTTATGAAGGAAAAAATGCAGATGGTACAAGACATGGGAAAAGTTCATACTTATATGGGCGATTTATTCATCGTTTTTTACGCCGATGGAGTTTGGATTCTTTACGGGACTGCCGAAGAACCTCTTTGTTTTAGACATCGTTGGTCAAGTGGCTTTTCTTGTCGACATCGTATTGCAATTTTTCTTGCCTTATAGAGACAGCCATTCCTACAAAATGGTCTACAAGCGTAAACTCATTTCTCTTCGGTACTTCTTTTCCTTTTCTCTTTCTTAGTACTTCCCTACTTATGTATTAAGTGATATGGTGCAAGTTTTAAGATCCATGCAGTACTTTAGTGCTTATCTCTACTCTCTCTCTCTTTCTTTCTTTCTTTCTTTCTTTCTTTCTTTCTTCATATTCTTATTCACTTCCTTTTGTCCATTTTTCCCTATTGCAGCTATTTGAAGTCTCATTTTATTCCTGACCTTTTGGGTTGTATGCCTTGGGATATTATCTATAAGGTTTGTCTGTTAATTCTGCATTAGCCTCAATTCTTAGCTATAATAGAAATTAACATCAACACACTAAATTTAGGCTACCGGGAGAAAAGAAGAGGTGAGGTACCTTCTATTCATCAGGCTGACTCGTGTCCGTAAAGTGACTACATTTTTCCAGAGGCTTGAAAAAGACATCCGAATCAATTATCTTTTCACAAGGATATTAAAACTCATAGCTGTGGAACTCTATTGCACTCACACGGCAGCTTGTATATTCTACTATTTGGCCACTACACTTCCAGAGGAGAAAGAAGGGTACACTTGGATCGGGAGTTTGAAGCTCGGTGATTATAGCTATGCACACTTTAGAGATATTGATATCTGGAAAAGATACACAACCTCCATGTATTTTGCCATTGTAACTATGGCAACTGTGGGTGAGTTCAA